TTTTACTCATATACTAAAATGGTAATTACAATGTGTTTTTTTTTTTTTTTGCCTTTATTCTGTCACTGTGGCAAAAATTTGAAGATTAAACTAACATTGCACTCCTGGAATGAATACAAATCATTCATGATTTGTTATCCCTTTTATATACTGCTTATATTTTATCTAGAAATTTTGTGTTTGTGTTTGTGAAAGATACTTGTTGATAGTTCATTTTCCTTGTGTTGCCTTTATCTCTCCTTAGTATCAAAGTAATATTGACTTTGTAAAATGAATTAGAAAGTATAATTTCCTTTTCTTTTCTCTGAAAAATATAGTGTAGGATTGCTATTATTTCTTCCTTAAATGTTTGCAAAATCAGTGAAGGAGTTTACTGTATGGGAAGTATGTATTTACAAATTACCTTTAGACATAGTGCTATAAACATTTTCTAGTCTTCTTGAATCCCAGTTGGCAGCATGTGTCTTGCAAGGAATGTGTCTATTGCATCTAATTTGACAAATTTACTGATGTAAGTTACCTGATAGCAATGTCTCTCATTTAATACTCACATTGCTAATTTTTGATTTCTTCTCTTTTTCATTGTGAGCACTCCGTCAAGAGGTTTACCAGTTTCATTGATCTTTCCAAAGAGCTAGCATTTAGCTTCATTGATTTTCTCTGTTTTATGTGATAAATTTCTATTCTTCCCAGTATTACAGTTGTTTTAAGTTTATTGCACCCCCTCCCCTTTTTTTTCTAGTTTCCTAAGGTAGAAGCTTGGTTGATTTGAGATCATATTTTCTTCAAGTAGAAGAAATTATTAAAACCATGAGTTCCTCTCTTCCCATCACGTTAGATAGCCCACACTGATTTTCTTGTTTTTGGTTTTCAGTCTGATTTAGCGCACTTTCTAACTACCTTTGTAATGTTCTCTTTGTATCATGAAATAATTTTCTGCTTGATTCCTTTTCTGTGCAGAACTCAATTCCTATGAAATTAATCTTCAGATTCAGTGTAATCTATCAAAATTCAGTAGGCTTTATTGTAGAAATTGACAAGAAGTTTAAAAATATGGAAATGCAAATGTTCTAAAAGATTAAAACGATTTTGAAAAGGAAGAACAAATTTGGAGGATTGCACTAACCACTTTCAATATTTTCTCTAAATAATCAGTAAGCAAGACAGACTTGCTGGTGTATCAAGACAGACACGTAGATCACTGGAACAGAGTGGACAATCCAACAAAATACCCACACTCACAACCAATTGGTTAATTTTTACAAATGTGCCCAAGAATTTTAATAGAAAAAGGGTAGTGTTCTTGATAAAAAAAAAATTCCTAGGACTACGGTGTACTTATAGAGTGAACAATGAATGTAGACCTTCACATCATGTCAAATACAAGCTATGAAACCAAAATGTATAAAAGACCTATATATAAAAGCTAAAATAATAAAGCTTTAAGAAGAAAAATAGGAGAAACATGTTTTTAAAGTGAATTGAGCAAAGTTTTCTTGAATACAAAATCCCCAGGCAGAAAAATTCATCAGTTTAACTTCATCAAAATTGAAAGCTTCTGCTCATCAAGAAACTACTTAGAAAATAAAAGACAAACCATAGGTCGGGCATACTTGATTCTTACAACTCAAAAAACAGAGGACAACTCTGTTTTTCCCTCTCTCTGTGTAACTTTGTCAAATAAATGCAAACTGCAAAAAAACAACACAAACAAATCAATAAAAGTCATAAATTTTAACTTATATTTTACAGGAGACACCACTACAAACATATTAGACTTGGCTAAAACTAGAAAGACTAGTGATATTGCATGTTGATGTGGAAGTGAGGCAAGTGAATCCCTCACACACTGTACCAACATACAACGTCACCACCCTTTCACAAAGCAGCTGCCAGCTTCTTATAAAACTAAAAATACACTTACCATGTGATGCAGCAATTCTATCTTAATCTAAGATAAGTGAAAACAATACTTGAATACATTTATAGCCAATGTATTCCTAGTAGCCAAATTTGGAAATAAGTTAGAAGACCATCATTTGGTGAGTAGGTAAAATGGACAAATTCCTAATGGAACACTACTCATCAGTGAAAAGCGAGACACTGAATCAGAATAGGCAGGGATTCCTAAGTTTGCTAATAAAAGTGCACATGTAGATATGAACATCACTAAAATATTACAATGATTGAAATAAGACTTACACTAAAGAGGACATGATTCATGACTATAAATTTTAGAAAGGATTAGTCTTATCTTTACTGTCCTGAGGCACACCTGTGTTTATCTTGTGGAAGAGTAACTTGCTGGGATGGAGCCCAAGGAAGCTTTCTGGGATAAAAATTGCTTCAAATCTTAATTTTATCAATGAATCAAACTCATTTAAAAGTGCAATCACTTCTTTTATATGGCATAGTAAAGTAAGTTGCAAAATGTATGTTTCTATATTGAGATGGACAGATATGCATTTTTGGAGGGAGCACCAGGGAAGAGGAGAGGACTCACATCCCCAGAGGTGGACAGTACCATGCCCAGGGCAAGACAGAGTTGGATTGTACAAGATTTCTTTTTCTTTCTTTCTTTCCTTTTTTTGGACAGGCCGAGCGGACAGTGAGAGAGAGAGAGAGAGACAGACAGAGAGGAAGGTCTTCCTTTGCCGTTGGTTCACCCTCCAATGGCTGCCGCGGCTGGCGTGCTGCGGCCAGTGCATCACGCTGATCTGAAGGCAGGAGCCAGGTGCTTCTCCTGGTCTCCCATGGGGTGCAGGGCCCAAGGACTTGGGCCGTCCTCCACTGCACTCCTGGGCCATAGCAGAGAGCTGGCCTGGAAGAGGGGCAACCGGGACAGAATCCGGTGCCCTGACCGGGACTAGAGCCCGGTGTGCCGGCGCCACAAGGCAGAGAATTAGCCTAGTGAGCCACGGCGCCAGCAAGATTGTGCAAGATTTCATCGTGTTCCTAAAAACAGTGTGCAATTTGAAACTAATGAGTGTTTATTTCTGAAAATACTCATCTAATATTTTGGGACCACAGTTTTATGGGTAACTGAACCTGTGGAAACAATAAATTCTTTATTTAGTGGAGGATTAACCACAGACTAGGAGGGATTATTGTTTGTTACAGGAAACCATTAAATCTGTAGTTGTAGGAGAAGCAACTGGAAGCAATCACAGTGCTAACAAGTATTGGTTATTATTAACTGCCTTTGTTAAGTTACTGAAGAGCTCCTGAACAAATTAAAATAACATTAAAGTCTTAAAATGCTTGAATCAAAACCTGACAAAACTGAAGGGAGAAACAGATAACTCAGCAGTATTCGCTGGAGACTGCAATACACCACTTTCACCATGAAAGAAAAACAAGAACAAGCAACACTGAAATAGAAGTACTGAACAACACATAGACCAACTCTTCCTTTTTTTAAAAAAAAATTATTTATTAATTTGAAAGTCAGAGTAACACAGAGGGAGATGGAGAGAGAGAAACAGAGATATATATATATATAGAGAGAGGAGAAAGCAGTCTTCCATCTGCTGGTTCACTCCCTAATTGGCCACAATGGCCAGAGCTGTGCCAATCTGAAGCCAGGAGCCAGGAGCTTCCTCCAGGTGTCCCATGCCGGTGCAGAGACCCAAGCGCTTGGGCCATCTTCTACTGCTTTCTCAGGCCATAGCAGAGAGCTAGATTGGAAGTGGAGCAGCTGGGACTCGAACCAGCGCCCATATGGGATACTGGCCCTGCAGGCCTCAGCTTCACATGTTAAGTCACAGCCCTGTCCCCAGAAAAAAGTATTCCTAACACACATCTGGGTAGCACTCCAGCCGACAATGTAAGAATACGCATTTTTCTCATGAAACCATTCTCTAGGAGGGATGCAAACTCAGTTATATCACAGAATCAATAGGTAACCTAAATTTTAAATCATACAAAGCGTGTTCTCCAGCCATATTGACAAAATTAGAAAGCAACAACAGAAAGAGATAAGCCAAATTTACAAATATGTCAACATAAACACACTCATAAATAATCAATGGATAAATCACAAGGGAATTCAAAAGATACTTTGAGGGGATTGAGAGTGAAATCACAGCATGTTCAGAGGAGGTCGAGGCACTCAATGATCGTGCATGTGAGAGAAGGAACCTGGTCCTATTACGATTGCATGGAGCAAGGACTTTACCACCTCACCTTGGACTTGGACATGAGGCAGAAATAACTTCTGCAATGAGCGTGCCAATAGGAGTCCTTTGTTACTGCAGGTAGCCTACACCAACTAATAGTCATAGCATGATCAGACCTATTTTTTTTCTGTTTGTTTATTTGGTTAGGTGGTTTTGGCTCCAGGAGGTGTAACTTGGATATGACAGTACACCTTATCCTGTGTGTGTGTGCATGTGTGTGTGTGTTTGAATGGGGAGTGAAGCACATTCCTCCAGGGAAACTGAAAATGCTCCTGGCAGCACAACACATCCTCCTCATCCCTTTTCTGACACAGCATGGGCACTCAGAGAATGGAAGAGAAAGAATTGAATAGGATTGCAAAAGTGCGTGTGTTTGGGAATTTTTATTGTGAGTGTATGGAAGTAATGGATGAAGAGACAATTCACATATATGGAAGCAAGAGAATTCCTTGATATAAACTTGAATTGGCTGGATAAGTCTGTAGTCTGGAAGCCAGGTTTGGGGGCAGGGCACTCAGGGTTAGACAGTCTGAGTCAGCGTGGACAGGTCCTAACTAAAGTGCAGTACGCCTCATTGCATGGCAAGAAGAGAGCCTGCTGCAGCCCTGGCTGCCCAGAGCAACAGCCTCAGGCTGACATTGCATGAACTTCCCTTTAGCAGTGCAGCACTGCTTAGTGGGGCAGCCTCCCAGGACCATGGCCAGGACCAACCTCCTTCTGAACAAAGCCCTTCTTCACCAACCTCTGTGTGTGTAGAGTGCCTGCTTCAGGAGGAGAATGAATGAAAGAGCTGAGTCAGACAACAGCACACACAGTCAGGTGTGGAATTAAAAGTGAATTTAATGAAGGCAAAACAAACGCGATTCAGTTGTTTGCACCACAGATCGGTCTTCAGATGAATTCTGAGCAGCTGGAAACTGGCTCGGGAGCCAACACTGTCAGCCTGCCTGGAGGCTTCCTACTTCCTACAGTGCATGGGAAGGAAAGCTGCACGGGTCGTGAGGTTAGGGTGCCACTGAGGAGGGGCTGTGACTGCAGGTCACTAACGGGACCTCTGAGCAGAATGGGAAGAAGCTGCTCAGCACGCGGTGCTCCTCTCCTGGAGGGCGTGACTGTGGATCACGCTACTTCTGCTTCATCTTCTGCTGAGCTGGTGCTGGAGTGACGGTTGGACAGGGCTCAGGCACCTTGGGGTGGCAGGGCTCTGGCACCTTGGGGTGGCAGGGCTCCGGCACCTTGGGGTGGCAGGGCTCCGGCACCTTTGGGTGGCACGGCTCTGGCACCTTGGGGTGGCAGGGCTCCGGCACCTTTGGCTGGCAGGGCTCAGGCACTCTGGGGTGGCAGGGCTCCGGCACCTTGGGCTGGCAGGGCTCCTTGGTTTTGGGGACACAGGGTTCCTGGGGTGGAGGCTGGCAAGGCTGCTTCACCTGGTGCTGCTGCAGCTGAGGGGGTACGGTGCAGGGCTGCTTCTGCTGCTGAGAACTCATGTTTCTGTGGCAGCTGGTCCTAGGGAGAGAAAGGCTGATTTTCAGTGGAAACAATTGAGGAGGAATGATGCTCAACATCACTAGAGGTCTCTTACTGAGCAGGTGTTCTTTCTCCTTCACCACAGGAATACTTTAACTATTTCTTTCTAATTAATAATTAATTAATAAATAAATCCCAACTGGGATCCTAACTGCTGCACCTGACATTAGTGACTCCTGAGCCTTTGGAGAGGAGACATCTGAAAGTGATCTGTCCTGCTTTGCTTGAGCAAGGCGTCTCCCATGCTCTCTCTCTCTTCCAGCACATCTTAAACCCAGTTAGCAACACAGCACAACAAGGAGTGTGAACTTAAACTGTGGGAATCCATGGAAACACGAAGTTCTTTGGGAAAAAGTCACAATAGCTTCAGTCCATTCACTCATTTCTGATAAAAAGAATGATGTACTGTGTACAGGGCAACTCTGACCTCCAGGAAGGCTGCATGATTCCACCTCTGCCCTGGCTCACACTGCCCTCTGCCTCAGTGCTTTCCATCCACTCAACCACGGTGACAGCTTCCAAGCAACCACTTATTCACACACATCCCATGGGGCACCGTTGGGTGGATTTTCTAGAGCAAGCCTTCCAGCCTCTCCCTACTCACCTCTTGATGCTAACACCACATGTGCCCTGATCACCAGGCACTGACCCATTACTATGCTGTGTTTTAGCTCTTAGTGATCAATAGTAAGTTCATGGAATATATTCCTGTTGCCTAAACTATTTTCTAGCTGCCAAAGTGCCAAATTTGTAAATTCTTACAAAATTTTGTTCAAGGAATAAAATTTTCTGCAATAAAATTCTGACTAAAAAGAAATGGAGATCCCAGTAGAAGTACTGTGGACCTGGATTTCACCCCTCATCCTGGTGCTAACTCCTCCAGGTCCTGTCGTGGACATTGCAAGTATGGATAGGGCAAGACTGATTATGTGAACAGTCCCTTCAAGCCCAATCATCGTTGCTTGTAAAACAAAGCTATTCCTAGAACCTCTGACGTGGATAATAGTTTGCATGTCTGAGACCAAGTTTCAATAATGGGGGAAAAGACACCAAAAATGCCCAGGGGATTTCAATACAAACCGAATACCTAGAGGAAAGAAGTCCTAGTGGAGAGACTCACCTGGTGTTCAGAGAAGAGCAGGCTGTGTGGCCACTAGGATCTGCTGTGGCATCCCCAGCCAGCTGGCTTTTTATGCAGGGAACAAGCCCTGCCTCCAGGAAATGGGACACTTGGAGGCTGCCGCGTCAGACATGGCAACCATGATTCACCCAATCACTCATCTGCTCGTTGGCTCATCGTTGGTGATGAAACTTTCCACTTGACATTGTTCCGACACTCGCTGCCTGACAATCACGTCACCCGAACCTTAATCCCGCCGAGAGCCCTTTGTGCGCAGGCGCCGAACTCATGTGGAGGATGCTGTGGGCGGAAAGAGAGAGAAGGAAGTCCTGGGGCTGATGCCGACGGAAAATGGCCTCTCTTCTGGATCCTAATGCATAGCACAGGCAAGGCTTATGTGCTGCCTACTATTTGAAGGGGATGTGGAGGTCAGTAACAGGTGTTTCTGGTTCTCCTGGGAGGCTGTGGATGTGGCGTCCTGAATTGCACCAGATGGGCAGGAGTGGTCTCTGTATGTATCACTCACTCAGTGTATCCAGGCCTGGGAGGGTAGAAAAAGCTAAACTGATCCTTTTGGTATGTGTGCAAAGAAGACCTCACGTCTACAAAGAAGGGCGTGGGATGTGGATCAGTGAAGGGGCAACTGAGCGATACAGACACACACGGGGACAGCCAGGCTCTGCAGCTGCCGGGATATCTGCTAGCCCTGCCACTCCTCTGCCCCACGTGGCCTTGACAGTCCTGCCTTTCCTGGGGGTCCCTTTTAAGGAGCCAAAGCAGGGACCAAACAACCCGAATTCCCTCAGGTTTCTTCTGCTCAAGCTAAAATGAAACTGAACTCACTCACCTAGGGCTGCCTGCAATATACAATCTGCTACAAAGTCTGGAGTTTGGAGACTACAGGCTACCCTTCAAAGCCTAGGAGAAGCCAGGTGAAGACCATCATAGAACAGGTACGAAATTCAGGAAGCAGAAGTAGAAACACAGTCCTCCAGAGGGTAGAAATTCCTTCCCGGAGCACACAAACTCAGATGGGTCAGCACAAGGTAGACTTCAACCAAACTCCTGAGACTCAGGAAAGGTTGGGGTGATGGGGGTGATCCTTGTCCACCTGCTCTTGGAATGCTGCAAGGCAGTGAGTTCAGGAAAGAAGGCTTCACTGGGGAGCCTCATCCTGGGAAGATCAAGACCTGAGGCTTGTGAAGCAGCTGTCTCACAGCAGCAGGTCTGGAACAGAATTTGATGGCGTGCTGCAAGAGGGAGGCTGCATTGGTCTGTGTGGTGCTTTTACCCTGACAGCTTCTGAGGTTGTTCTAGCTTTGGGAAAGACACTGCTATACCCAGACAAAGGAGGCTTCCAAAGGGAGCTGAGGAGACACCTAAGGGTACTTGTGGTGGGTGGGCCCTGGGGAAAGCACTTGTGGCAGGGTGGTGAGTTTTGTGGAAATGTGTAAGGTGCTGGACACCTTAAGTTCATGTCTCCGGGATCTAGGAAGAACCGTTCCTGGGAGATGCAGGCAAGATTACAGGAGCTGACTGGGAAGGTAGTGCTTAGGAGTGGTGAGTGTGTTCACAGAAGGGCTTCCATTCAGGCTCAGAGAGAAACACATCTGATACCCTGGGAGAGTGCCTGCCCAACCTGTGAAGATATTTTTTGGCTTCTAAAACCATCATTATGACATTAGGTTGCTTCTTCTTCCTCTTTACTTTGCATTTTTCCTTACTAAAATTTGTATTTTAGTATCAAGAATCTCTCTTTGTATGACATAATTGAAAATAAAATTCACAGTTTTTACGCAGCAAAAAAAATTTTTAAATGAGTTAAGGGAAAAAGATTAAGGAGGGGGGATCGGCATTTGTCTTAGCAGTTCAGATGCCAGTTAAAGTGTCCACATCCTACATCTGAGTCCCTGGGGCTGAGTCCTAGCTCTGTCTCCTGATTCTAGCTTCCTGCCTTGCAGACTCTAGGACCAGCAGATGATGGTTCAAGTGAACGTGTCCCTGCCATCCACACGCGAGACCTAGGTTGAGTTCCCCAGCCCAAGTCATTGTCAGCCTTTGAAGAGTGAACCAGTGGATAGGAGCTCACTCTCTTTCTCACTCTCTCTCTCACTCTCCCTCCTTTCCTATTAAACAAAATCAGTTCCTTTTTTTAAAAAAGATTTATTTATTTGAAAGTCAGAGTTACATAGAGAAAGGAGAGGCAGAGATAGAGAGAGGTCTTCCATCTGATGGTTCACTCCCCAATTAGCCGTAACTGCGCCAATCTGAAGCCAGGAGCCAGGAGCCTCCTCCAGGTCTCCCACATGGGTGCAGGGGCCCAAGGACTTGGGCCATCCTCCACTGCTTTCCCAGGCCACAGCAGAGAGCTGGATCAGAAGAGGAGCAGCCGGGACTAGAACCGGCGCCCATATGGGATGCGAGTGCTTCAGGCCAGGGCATTAACCTGCTGAGCCACAGCGCCAGCCCCAATAAGTTCCTTTTTAAAAATGAAGGAATTAGACCAGATTTTTGAAATTTTGATAGCTTTTTTTTTCTTTCCCTTGTCTACTATGAAGTGAATCATAACTAAAGAGGCTGGCTCTGGTAATGAAGCAAGTGCATCTTAGGGAAAGTGGCCACATTTATTTATTGCTTATTTGGAATCAACCTGCAAGAGTCCTATTAGAATGTTCCATTATTTTTTATTTTAATAACAACTTCTTCACTTTCTTCTCCAAAGCATTTCTAGCTACTAAAACACATAGTGCACAATAGCTACAACTTCTTTCCACCACATAAGGAAAAGCATAAAAGTGCCAAACACTCTTGATTTTTCAGGTTTAGAAACACAGTCTATTCCAAAATAGACATCATTCTCAAGAATTTAGGATCATCCCGGTGGGAGGTTGTAGCCCCATTTGAAGAGAAGTGGAATATCCTGAGTGAGCAGGATTGGTTATTTCTCAAGGTGAATACACGTCATCTGAGATGACAACCCGGTAAGCCTCAGGTGATGACCTGTCCCAGGACCTCCCCACCCGGAGAAACGTGCCCAGCACTGGAAACTCTGCTTAGCGTTGCAGTCATTGCTGGTGACGATGGTGGAAAATTTCAAGGAGTCTGCAGCTCTAGGAAGAAGAAAGGTTTCCAATTCATGCGGCCAATATCTGATATCGAGGATCTACAATGTTTCAGGCAGTGTTCCAGACACTTGAGGCGCTTAGAAAATAAAAACAAGGAAGTCTTACATTGTGGAGCTCCTATGCACAGGGGATAGTAGGAGTAAATCGTAAATAGACTGGGTGACTATGTAAATGATGTGTTAAAGGAAGAGTATTGTGAGCATTTGGGAGGACCAAAGAGGTATGGGTGGTGGTTGTGGGTCTGCCTTGAAGAAATAGTGTTTGACCACATTTCGAGGAAGTGAATGATTAGCTATTGAGAGTAGGGAAGGAAGAGAGTTCGAGGTCAAGAGACTACCTGACGCAAATTCTCCAAGTCTGATTCTGCCTGGGTGACCCAGAGGCAGTTCAGCCCAGGTGGAAGGAGTAAGAGGGAGAGGGGCAGGGATAAAAGAGAACATCTCTGCCCTCTGCTTTTACTCCATGTGATCAATCATATTTAGGACCTGATGAATCTTTCTTCTTCCACAGACCCTGGTGAGCTCTTCAGGCTGAAGATCAGCTCTCAGGGAAGTGTGCGGAGGTTGTCTGTTTAGCTGCTCCAATATTCTTCGTATTCCTTGGACTCTACAAGAAGAGACTGAATCAAGACACAGATGGGAACCTTTTGAGAACAGGAAGCTTACTCACCATAGAGCTGCTCTGTTAGCACCCTTTACCTCTTCATGTGTGACAGCACCACCGAGTGATTCTAATTTGGTAGATATATCATTATAATCCTGGAAATATATCTTTTTGAAACAAAGCTATGGTAAATATTACAGTAAAGGTGTATGGGATTCTTCTAAAACTAGGCATTCTAGCATGAAAGTAACTGAATATTGGGAAAAAATTATCCTAATATACTCTTTACTGCTCTGACACCTGGCATGTGGCTTTGGTTACACAGAGTCCAATAGAAGCCTACAGTAGTATCCTTCCCTATAATTCTGGCCCAGAAGTCACTATAGTCTCTTTCTTGGGTGTCTCAGTCAATGGGAAGATCCACCTGGCCTGGTATCCTGCACTGTGGTTTTATAAAAAAAAGTTTTATTTATTTATTTGAAAGGCAGAGTTAGAGGAAGGGAGGAAGGGAAGGCGAGGGAGAGAGAGAGAGAGAGAGAGAGAGAGAGAGAGAGAGAGAATCTTCCATCCACTGATTCACACCCTAAATGACCTGAATGGACAGTGCTGAACTGATCTGACGACAAGAGCCAGGAGCTTCCTCCAGGTCTCCCACATGGGTGTAGGAGCCCAAATACTTGGACCATCTTCCACTGTTTTTCTAGGCCATAAGAAGAGAGCTGGATCAGAAGTGGAGCAGCCGGGACTCAAATTGGTGCCCATATGGGATGCTAACGCTGCAGGAGGTGGTAGCTTAACTCGCTATGTCACAGTGCTGGACTCTGAACTGTAGATTTTTAAAACGCAATGATAATATTGGCTTTATCTGTGTTTATAATCTAGAGCTGCCTGCCTTACTGGGCATCAGAGTGTTTCCTAGTGCACTATCCCATTATCTTCCTAAACATTACTTTGCGTTAAGGTAGTTGGTAAAATTGTTACTTGTTACTTAAAAATCAGCCTAGTTACCCAGTAAACTCATAAAAAAAGAAGGGACTGAAAAGATGCAGAGATTTGTTGAGTGTTGGTTACTACCAAGTTCCTTTGACAGAGTATTGATAAACTCAGGATGAAAATTTGGCTATTTCTCAATCACAAAATAAAGAGATAATACCACTGGGAAAGAAAGACCTATTAAAGACTAATCTTAGTGGCAAAGGTGGAATTAAAAATGGAGTCTTTCCTAGCCATATAGATTTGGAGAGTATTGGGCAATAGCAGTAAGTTTAAGGAAAAGAGAAATGGGGCAAGGAACCAAAGAAATGAGCTTGACTTTTGAATCTGATCAGGGAAACAAGTTACTGTCAAGGGAGTTGACTGGGAGCAAATCAGAAGCCTTCAGGATTTCTGGTGGAATTGTTTTACCTAAGA